ACTTCTTAAGGTCATGCATAATTTGGTCCCTGCCTTCACTCAGATATGATACTCTCTTTTTTGTTCACCCACTAATTATATTAGTTTTCTTTTTTTTCCTCCAATGTGCTGCTATGATCTTAATATTTGTGCCCCCAGCTCCACAACTCAGATACCAACACCCTAGGTCCAAAGTGATCATATTAAAAGGTACAAGGGCTGAGGATGTAGCTCAGTGCTCTAGAATGCTTCAAGCCTTGAGTTCAGTCCTCATCACCCTCTTCCCCCCAAAAAAGGTGCAGCTCTTAAAAGAGAATAGCTCTTATAAAAAACACCCAAGAGAATTCCCTTGCCCCATTTATCTAGTGAGAAACAACTGGAAGGTGTCAGTGATACAGGATATAAAACCTTAACAGACACAGAATCTGCTGGTCAGATGACCTTGAACTTCTTAACCTCCAGTACTGGCAATCAAAGTTTTGTTGTTTACAAATTAACCTGTACACGATATTTTGTAACAGTGTGCAAATAGACTAAGATGCATGCCCATCTCATTTCATTTCAAGGCCTATGCCCTTGCTTTCCCCATTAGGAACTTTCTCTCCACAGACTTTTGTATGACTGGCTCCTCTTTATCCTTAGCAATCTGGCTCAAATGTCAGTCTTATCTACTTCTTCCCTAAAGTAGCCTCCTCTCCCAGTCATTCGCAATACTGCTACTTGAAACTGTATCCCTTATTTGCTCTCTTGTTTATTGTCTGTCCTCTTTTTACTAGGATACAAACTAAGACCTGTAAGTTCTTGTCTGGTAATGATGATGCCCATTTTCTTCTTGTTTTTTTCTTCTTTCTTTTATTGTGGAGCGAGGATGCTAGAGATCCAACCCAGAAATTCACATATGCTAGCAACACTCTACCTCTGAGATATAAATTGTATTTTAGGGAAGGGTCTACAGGGTGTTCGGGGTCTTGCTAACAGATTGGACTTGTAGTGATCCGCCTGTTTACAGCTTCCAAAGAGCTGGTATTACAGGTGCATGCCACCACGCCATCTCAATTCCCATCTCAGTGCACCCTGGGGGCGGGGCCAGCATGGCAGGCTCAGGAATCAAACCCCAGGGCCCCTGCACCTGCTTGCAGGTGCTTTAATCCACTGAAGAACTATATATTTTTAGTTCAGTTCACTCTGATATTTCTAATGCCTGAAAATTGTCCACCATAAAGTTGTTCAATGAAACACTCCTTTTATAGGTATTCAATAAAATATTCATAATCACTCAAAACATTTTCAAAATAATGAATTCTCATTATTTAAACAATGAATGCAACTTCAGTGGTAGGGTAGGGTGGAGGTAAATCTGGAGAGGACTAATGAATGAGAATTTTTAAAAAGGAAACAAAATGTATACTACTTTCCAGCATAATTACAAGAGGAAGAGAACAAAAGTTGGAGAAAGTCCAAAGATGTACAAGGGCGACTTTGAGGAAAAAAACCAGGAGGCAGGAGGATCACAGTGAGTTTGAGGCCAGCCTGGGCTGCAGAGTATCTTCAAGACCAGCTTGAACTACATAATGAGACCATGTCTCAAAAATACAACCACCCCCGCCAAAAAAAAAAACAAAAACCAAAAACAGAAAAACCCCAGGAGCCTGAGGCAGAAGGATCACAGCAAGTGCAAGGCCAGCCTTAAGTACCTAGCAAGAAAACCCTGTCTACAAAAAATAACAGGGGTTCCATCTCCAGCGTGCATGCTAGCCCGACCCCCTGGCATGCTCTGAGAGAGCCACTGAGATTGGGCGTGATGGCACGAACCTGTAACCCCAGCGCTTGGAAGGCTGAAAACAAGAGAATCACTATGAGTCCAATCTGTGTCCCTACACTAAAATACATTAAAAATAATAATACAAATTCAAAAATAAAAAATAATAATTCTTTTTAAAGTAAAGACTTATTTTTTTAGAATCAAATCCTGGGTCTTTTCAGAGAAATGAAAATACAGTACAGGTTAAATATCCCTAATCTAAAAATCCAAAATCCAAAACTCTGAGTGCTGTTAAATACCATAAGTAAAAAAAATTCGGGGGCCTGCCCCTTAGCTCAGTTCTTTAAGTGGCTGCTTCAACAAAGCAGTCAGGCTCAGGTTGCTGTGGTTCGATCCCCACAACACATTAAAAATAAATTAATGATAAAGCTTATAAAA